GATATTTTGATCTCAGGATTATCATAAAAAAAACTACCAGTGAATTTTAAAAGAAGTCAGGTCATTTGGGAAAATTATGATCTGTTTTCTTTTATGAGAAATATTCTTAGAATTGCTTCTTTGTAAACCCGTCTTTTTGTCCTTTCAAAACCTTTTAAGTGCACTGTCTCCAGGTCTCATCATGGTTATTTTCAAACATCCATTTTGAGATGTCTCTCTTGCAGCTGAGGTGTTTCTGAGTGACATTCCCATCAGTTCTGCAGGTGCATCTGGCCGACCTCTGTGATTGTCCCCATCAGTGCCAGGAGGGGGCCAGCCTGGATTCTGTGATTGCAGGGTAGCAGGCCACCCAGCCAATGGGTTACCTCTATTTCACTCACCATGTCCTTCAGCTAAAAAATCTTATTTTAAGGGCCATTCAAGGAGCAAAGGATATGGGGACAGAAGTATAGCTTGGCAAATCAGTAATTCTATTATTTGATAGAAAACATTTCCAATGGTTTTGGAATCAGGGCAAGATATATGTCTTGAAGTAACTGCAGTGGCTTTCTAAATAGTGGAAACATTCACAATATAAGGCTGGATGAACCGGAAATGTAGATATTTTCAAATTTAACTTCTCTGATTTCTTGCCAGATTGATTTCTTTCATTATGGGAACTTACTTCCACCTACATACCATTCTAGCCTCAGGAGGTAAGAGACTGATTTAGAGGTCTTAATTTAGGAGCGTCCTGAATTTTCAAGAATTTATTTGTTTAATATTTGAATGCCCATATGTGACATTTGGATTAATTGACTTATTTGGGTATAAGTCTTTTATGTCTCAGGTTAAGATTGAATTAGCATTAGCATTGCCACCATTGTGGACATCAAACCTAGAGGTACAGATTTGAACACTAGTTTCAGTCCAATCCCCATTTAAGGCCCAAGGTAGCTTGCTATTTCCTGTTTTCTCTGCCTTCACCGCCAAAGCCTCATCTCAGGAACTTAGATCAAAGGTTTCCTGACACTTTTCTGACCTCATCTCTCTTTGTTCTTCTTTCTTTATTCTCTGGCTAGTGCTCTTAACAGAGGCATTACTGCTCCACCCCTCCCTGGCTAGAGGGAGATTTGGAATATGGAGAGGAGGGATTTTAACAGTCACTATTACTTGGGGAAAAGTACTGGCATTTGATGAGTGGGATTTAAGGATGCCAAAAGTCCTGCCATGTGTGGCAGTCCTATAAATGAAGAATTGTTCCCTTGTAAAGGGTCCTCGTGGAAGAATATCATTTGTCTGATTACCGTCTCCCTCCAACATCTTTGTAATGATCTCTGCCCTTGCTCATGTTCTTTTTCATCAATGTTTACCCTCTCTTCTTTATGCACAATATACCTATTCCCCCTGAGATACCCACTCATGTACCTTTCTGAATCTGTCATTAGAGACTCAATTTTATTTTCACAAATCCATTCCCAATCAAGCCACTCCAGGCAGCATCTCACCATAATAAATATGCTTCCTGGCTATCTTGTGCATTGCAGAAGAATCAAGCACATTTTTTGTTTGTGCTTAAACCTTTTTCATGTGCCTGTCTTTCCTTCCTGAGCTTTAGAGAGCAGTGTCTCCTGTCTTATATTTTTCCATCTTATATTTAGTCTATTTCTGTAGTCTTGTAATTCAGCCAGATAGGTTTACTTTCTTTCTCCAAAACATGCTGTGGCTATTGTCCTGGACATTCATTGAGGCCTCCCTTGTAGGTAAGTGTGATGTTGGGACTGAATGATAGTCTAAAGAATGAGGCAGTGGTCGGACACATCACTTGAAGGGACACATCACCCCCTAGTTCTGACCCACGAACATTATGCAGTTGCAGCGATTGTTGCCTTTTGTTACAGTAGCAAACATTACTAACACACATACCATGTACTTACATCTGTGTGAATTATTCACATTGCCTAGAATGAGTTGCCTCTTTACATGTTTAAATTTTCTGCTCCATCTGATACCTAGATTAACTCCTTCCTACTCTATGAAGCTTTCTATAGTTTGAGCAGTCCAGAGTGAATTCTTCTTTCCCAAATTCTTGAAAATTACACAGATAACTTGACTACTCGATGAGCAAATAATACTAGATCTCACATAGTTTGCTTAGCTTTCTTTTTTTTTTTTTTAGGAATCACATGGTTTTTTATTTAATTTTTTAAATAATAAATTTTATTTTTATATTCCCCATACATTTGCAACCCCCCCATTCTGACCCCAATCCCTCCCCTCCCGCCCCCCACCCCCCCTGAAAGTGTCTCTGGTTCATAGTTTTTTGTTGATTTTGATTTTCACTTTCTTATAGTTATTCATTTTCCTAGTCCCTTATTTAAGTTCTCTAGATTCCTGATGTGAATGAGACCATCCGGTATTTTTCTTTTTCTTTCTGGCTTATTTCGCTGATCATGATCCCTTCCAGTACCATCCGTGTTGCTGCAAATTGCATGTGTTTATCTTTTTTGAATGCTGAGTAATATTCCATGGTATATATGTACCACATCTTCTTGATCCAGTCATCTATTTTTGGGCATTTGTGTTGTTTCCATAGCTTAGCTATTGCAAATAATGCTGCTATAAGCATAGGGGTGCAGGTGCTCTTTGGAATTGATGTTTCTGTGTCCTTTGGGTAAATACCTAGGAGTGGAATTGCTGGATCCTATGGAAGCTCTATGTTTAGTAGGTCCAGAAATCTCCACACAGTTCTCCATAGTGGTTGGACCAGTTTGCACTCCCACCAACAGTGCAGGAGAGTTCCTTTTTCTCCACACCCTCGCCAACATTTGTTGTTGCTAGTTTTTTTATTAAAAAAACTAGTTTGCTTAGCTTTCATGTGTGTTTTCTACGTTCTCTGATAAGTGCTAAGGTCTTTCAAGGTAGTACTTTTATCTTATGTTTTATAGTATTAGGGAAAGAAATCATTGTAGGTGCTCAAGAAATCATTATAAAATGAATGAATTGACTTATTTTACTCAGTTGCTTTTTCTTTTTACATCTCATAGTTTCTTATTGACACAGCTGGCACTGTAATATTGTATTGCTTCCATAGTTTGAGGTTTGACATTATTTCTTGTTTTCTTGTTTCTCTGTCTGCTTCTCAGTGAGAAATGCTTTTGAAAGAAATTATACCTTCCTACTACTTATCTATCATCCTCTCTAGTGCTATTATTTGTTTATGTTTAATACATGGTAGTTGAATAAGTGAATATATAATTCCTTTCACTGAATTCAGGAAATAATATATGTAAACTATTCTAACCCTCCTGTTTATAGAGATATCAAAACACAGTATCATATTTCTTTATTTTCTTTGTTATCAGGGGAGTGATCACACAGGGCTGTCTGACTGCTGTGAATGAGGTCAATCATTATGTATCGACTTTTTGTCTAACAAAAGAAAAGAGTTTTCAGTCTGTAGGATAGTGTGATCATCACTTTTGCTGGTTTCATCTTTGAGTTAACGTATCCTCGTGCATATAATATTTCTCAAATTGGTGGGGTATTCTGGTTAGACTTTGCTTACAGGGATTTGTTTGAGGAAAAACCTATTGAGGCAAAGGCTTTACCAAGAAATCAAAGTTATTGACTCTGCTCTTCTTTCTCCTCCACTGAACCCTGTGACCCATTTAGCAATCAATAGTGACCATAAAGAGGAGAAGCTCAGGTCAGGTTTCAGGAGACCTGACCTCTCATTCCAACAGCTTGATCCTTAGCAACCCATTTCTTTCTGGACAACTCTATCCACAGGAAATTGGATCAATATATTTCTCACTTCCTTTTGTATATCTTGTTAGGGTCAATGAAGCAATATTAATACCCATCTAGGTAATTTATAACTAAGGGCCAGCTAATAGGTAAAGATTCCCAAAATATATTGGTCTTAAAATCTTTTTGAATCAATATCAAGCAGATAATTTAAGTCTCTAACTATTCTAGGTTACTCGGGTATGTCAGGAAGTGGTCCTGATTATTGGCCTGGGTCCTTTGCTCAGAGCCCTGAGTTTTTTTAGCCCTTTAGGGAGCAGATGTCAGGACTCAAGTTCCTAAGTAGCAAAATGAGAAGGCTTCTTCAATGAGAAAGCCAATAAGGATCTAGGCCAGAGTTCCAGAGGTTGGTTCTGTCAGGTAGAACATGGAAGAATTGTTAATGGGCAAAATGTCTGAACTCTGTCACTGGGTCTGAACTCTTTTATTGCTCTGGGTCCAGTCACCCATGACTCCAAATGCAAACAAAAGGGTGTAGAAAAAAAGATTATTCTAAACAACAGGTTAGCAGAGAGGAAAAACTAGCAGGGCAGAGGGAGAGGGATGGTGTGAACTAGAGCTGCCATAATAGGAGCTGGCCTGCCGTGTCTGAAACTGGGGTGGGTGGCAGCCTGAGACAAAGTCTTACCAAGCCTTGCCATCTCTGGGGTGGCAGAGTGAGGTAGAGGTCTACTGCTACTGAGATTGGGGCTATACCCTCCTGGCGTGACCCCAGGGAGCAAAAGGCCCCACACCCCTCTGTTCCGCAAGATAGCTGCTGTCTATAGCAGCTCTGATAAAGAAAAGGTCATGATTATCACTCCCTATTAAAGACTCACAGAAGAACTGCTCAGCTCCACCCTCTCATGAACAGCCCCCTGGTTCAGGACCTCAGAGAGTCCAATCATTGTGCAGGCATTGTTTCTCAGAGATAGGGCCTGGTCTATGTCCAGTAATTAGGGGGCAGAGTTCTCTCATCCTGGAGGGAAAATTGAGGTGGCTTGCACTTAGCCTGGGGAGCTACACTGAACCCATGGAGGACCTGGGGGAAGTAGGCCTCAGCATCACTGGCTGCTCCAATGGGAGGCATTTATAGCAGAGGATAGGGACAGTAGTGAGGGTAGGAAACATCCAGTGGTTCAGGGCTGGGAGATACAATATTTGAAAAAAGAGTTTTAATTTAAAGGCTGCCAATTCTTTCTATAAACTGTCTCACTCATTGTGTTTAGTATGTCTATTCAGCTTAAGTACCTGCTTATTATGCACAAGGACCAGACTCATTTCATGTTGGCGTTGTGTCTATCAGAACATTGTCACAGGGGAAATGTTTAGTACACACCAGCTAGAAGATTGATATCTGTGCTTAGATTCGGTAAGTTTCATTCCAGTTTGTTTCAGATTCTGGGACATACTTTCCATACCTGCTTTTGGGTTTTCATTCCCTTCATCATTCCATAATTATTTTATTGTATGCACAGCACTGTTCTAAAAGCTAGAGATACAGACAAATTCACACCATTATTGAGCTTACATTCTTATGATTCTTATGGGAGGAAAACGCATATGTCCATACTATTCCCTGAGACATTTTGTGTTAAAGCAGCAGCAAAGGGACCAAACAGTAGCAGCAAGGGGGGGAATTACAGGAAATGAGGTCAGAGTTAGCAGTGATAAGGACTAGGATATATTCCAGGTATAATGGGGTAGACCTTGGATGAACTTGAGCAAGATCTATTGTCTTCTCAAAAACATTGTTCTGGTTGAAGCCTGGACTATAGATACAAGGGGGCAAGTGTGCCATGAGTCTGTTGCTTTGGTCCAGAGAGGAATGGTAGTAATTTGAAATGGTGGGGGTGAGGGTGACCTTCCCCCCAAATCATTTCAATCATTGTCAGAGTAGAAAGATGATAATTTATTTTATGAATCTGATGGCCTTCCTCAGTGTCTCTGATGTCCTCAGAGCATCCTTTACTTGCCATTATAGAATTATCCTATGTCCATATGTCTGTTTCCCCCTTGTGAGCCTTCATTTCCTTATCTGTAAAATGGGGGTGAAAACAGTACCATTTCAGATGGTTGTTTGGAGGATTAAATAAGAGATGAATTGAGAACAGTGATTGGTACATAGAAAATATTAATATCTAAAAATAATTGTAAAAATACCAACAATATCATTATAGGATGATGATTATGCTTACACAATAATTAACAATACTAATAATTTATGATAAAAATGTTGACAAAATGTCAATAATTATTACTAGCATCACATCTTATTTTTAATAGGTTGTGAGCTCTTCGAGGGCTGAGACTAGTCATAATAACCCAACTATGATAATAATAATGGCTATTAATAGCTAACATCTATTGAATAACTAATATACGCCAGACACTGAACAAAGAAATAACATAAATGATCTCCCAAATCCCTATAACTTTTACAGATGGATGCATTCATGTTTAGATAAATAAAACAATTTGACAAAATCACTGAGACTATATAAGTGGCAAACCTACAATTTGACCCTGATTCTAGTTTGACCTCACATCAGGCCTCAGTTGTTAACCAGCAGAGGAAAGTGGACCAACACTGAGCACTCATGTTTAAGAACTGCTACACACCTCCTCCAAATGTACGTGGTATAGTCAGCTGGTCACCCACAGGCTGCTGGGTCCCTTTTCAGCTTCATTAGCACATTATTGAACCTCACTAAGCAGTACCTCCCTAACTAGCTGAGCACTGAGTTGACATGCCTGAAGTAATGTAATAGAGTTTCTCTACTTTTTAAAGTCAACCACGAATAGTTTCTGATGCCCTACCTCAGGGAAAACAGGGACAAAAGTTTGAACTAATAAACAACCCATCCAGGGGCCTCTCTGGTGGCACAAGGGGTTAAGTCTCAGCACTATCAAGCTGTTGGAAGCCATTGCAGCACAAGTTTGATCCCTGGCCAGGGAGCTGACCCACATGGCAAAGCAGACCTCTCCTGCCTCATCTGCTGCTCCCTCTCAGCAGTGCATTTCAGTAGATCTGCCTGTTCTGCTGCTCCCCACTCTATCTCTGGTGAATCCTCTCACCTTAGCATCTCTGTCCTGCACCCCAGTTCTTATATGGATAAATAAAGTCAATCTTACGGAAAAACAAAACAAAACAAAAACAAAAAAAAAAAACAACCCATCCAGCCTTGGTTGTAATGTTAAGTTCTTGGTCAAGAGATGAAAAAGCCCACGATTTTTAAATCATGTTGACTAGCTCCTGGGAACAATATTGCAACAAGTAAAGCAGCTATCAAAACAGACTAAAATTACTGACCCTGAAGGGCTCAGTGTCCTAATAGTAAAGGCGAAAGATATCTCCACCAGAAAAACAGGAAAAGGGAGCAAACACTAATTAAGCAGCTGTTACATACTAAGTATTTTACATATACCTGCCCCTCTAATGTAATTCAATCAATTAAAGAATATACTGTTTACTAAAAAGGCACAGAAAGGTCTATAAGTTGCCCAGCATCATAGAACTATGTGGCCCTGAGCTACCAGTATGCTTTTAGTGTCCCGCAACTCTGCCTTGTTTGTTCAAATCCATTAAGTCTCAGTTTACATCATTTTATTAGGAAATTTCCACACCTTGCCATATCCTCTGTTATAATTTCATCCTGACTGTTTCGCTGTCATCATTTTATAATTAGCTTCATTTGTTGTTCCCCTGCCCACCTTGTAAACCTTGAAAGGGGGTGTCCAAGAACTCATATAGTTCTGGCTTAAAGTAGCTGCTCAGTAAACAGTTGTTTAATTAGCTGTCTCATCTTTATTTTTTATTTTTTATTTTTTTTAAAGATTTATTTATTTATTTGTTTATACAAGCATTGGGTACAGTCAGAAGTGCAGAAGGGTGAGAGAATTCACCAGAGCCAAAGGGGAGAGCAGAGCAGGCAGATTTACTGAAACACACTGCTGAGGGGAGCAGCGGGCGGCAGGAGAGGTCTGAGCGCCATGTGGGACCCTCGCCGGTGGCTGGGGATTGAACCGGTGCTGCAGGGCTATGGGCAGCTTCGCAGCCCAGCGCTCAACCGCTGCGCCACCAGGGGAGGCCCAGCTGTCTCATCTTTAAACAAGATGTTTGTAGTGTGCAGTTTCTGCCACTGCTGTGTTTCTGGAGATAATATCCAAATGTAGTTGAGGCAGAGACCTGAGTAGGACTTCATGTCACCAAACAGCTGATGGTGTGGGGAGAGCATGACTACAGCCTAATGCATTTCAGTTCTTGTCAGAATTCAGCCCAGGTCTTTTTGTGTGTTCTGTGCACACAGTGCCAGAGATCCTTATTCTCTCTTTTTTCCTTCCCGCAGGGCCTGGGAAGAGCCTGTGTTCCTTTTCTTTGTTGGCAAAGCTGCCACCCGCTCCACACTTGGAACTGCCCCCACCCCCCAGATCAGAACAGGAAATAAGTAGCTGTCTTCCTGCAGAGACAGGTACTGAAGCTCTTTTCACTGTAGAATTTTACCATGAATTGGCACAAAGACACAGTTGGGAACTGAAATAGACAAATATAGTTTGGCTGTAGGGAAATTATCGAGATTAAATAATTTTTGTGCATTGCCAGAGACATGATTCTTGGTTTTGATTCCTGCCCATGCTGACCCCTTGGGGGAGCTAGGTAGGGCTATTCACCTGCCTGGGTTTCCATTCCAGCTCATAGAACTTCAATTCTTTATTGTGAAAATGGGGGTAATGTTGATTTTGATTTTTACTTTGTATTGATTAGTCTTTTTCCTGGTCTCTTATTTAGGTTTTCTAAATTCCTGCTATGAGTTAGACTATCCGGTATTTTTCTTTTTCTTTCTGACTTATTTCGCTGAGCATGATCCCTTCCAGCTCCATCCATGTTGCTGCAAACTGCATGTGGAAGGACTAGAGTCAAAATAAGGGGGGTGGTGCAATTGTATGGGGAATATAACCAAAATGAAAATGCATACATTGTGCAAAGATGAAAAAAGATGTAAGAATTATATAAAATAAAATATTTTAAAAAAATAAAAAAAATAAAAGTTGCTAATCTACTCAAAAAAAAAAAAAAAGAAAGAAAATGGGGGTAATGGTATCTATTAGGTTGAACATATAAAATTGTCATTTTGGTAGGTCAGGAGGATCAAATATTGACAATTTTATATAGCTCAACTTAATACATCATATGATTGTTCTAGGATCAAATGAATAATGCATGTGGAGCACTTATCATAATGCCTGTCACAAAAGTACTCAATACATGTTAGCGATGAGGATCTTAATGATTTTTATCTCAGGCAATGACTAAGGTCTAATTGGACTTCTGCCCTCAATACAATTTTTCTAAGTGGCACCAACCAAATGCCTAACATTATCTGACCATTGCTGACAGGTAAAGAGTAAGCAGACAACCCCTGAAGAACCCTCTTCCCAGTATATTGCCTTGAATGTAATATTGGAGAAGATTGGCAGGAATCTTGTGTCCCAAGTGGACATGTTAACTGTCCAAAGCCCTCTTTTGAACTAAGAGAAACCTATTTCTTCCACATCTCCATCTACCAAGTATTCACCACACACGCATTTCCTCACAATGCTCACTTAATATTGCTGTGACATTGGTTGAGTCACTTAATATCTGAGTATCCTTTTCATTCTCAAACAAATATGCACTGAGTACTTGCTAAATTTTAGGCAAATCCTGATAGATTATGGAAATGCTGCTTTCACAAAGATTTTATCCACACAGTTATGAGTCGTTCATTTTTCACTCATTCTACAAATATGTATTGAGCATCTACTAGATGCCAAGGATTATGTTAGACAATGGATAAAATGGTGGCCAAATCATATATAGTCCCCGGCTACTTACAGTTTACTATGAGAGTTGGACATTGAATATGCAGTCTTATATAAATAAATGTATAAATTGTGGGAAGTATTATGAATGAGAATATGGTATTATGGTAGCAAGAGATACAAAGCTTTAATGTAATCTGGCAAGGTAGGGCAGAGCTGCCAGCCAATCTTGCCATACCTTTGAGAGAATTAGATAAAGATATGCTAGCAGATGCGGGTCCACTCCAGAACTGGCTAGTGGAGTATAGGGATTGGCTAGTGGAATATGACTGAAATCCACTCATCACATGACATTTCATTTGCCCCTCAGCCGAATGCTCTTGTGTGGTGCATCCTGCACAAATGTGCAGGCAGCTTTGGGTCAGGGCAGGCTACCATAAGGAAACAATGCTGGAACACGTGTCGTCTGAAAGAAAATGAAAATAACCATAAATATGGGAAGTTGTATACTTGCATTTGGTACAGTTAAGAATTGGAGTAGAACTCCAGACAAAGAACTATGTGTGAGGGCTTTGTGGCAGCAAGAAACAGGGTTCACTTGAATAGTTAAAAATGTCCAATAAAACTAGAGGTCAGAGAATAGTGAAGAAAAGTCAAAATAAAATTGGAGAGAAAAGCAGAGATCAGAACTTGTGGGCAGAGATCATAACTTATCTCCACCGTGTGAGCAATGAAGAGTCACTTAACTGTTTTGTATAGATGGTAGTAGCAGAATTAAATGTTTGTCATGATTACTTACGACTCTAGGAACAAAATGGATTGGAGAGAGTTGCCAATAGTGAATGAGTTAGGAGGATGTTGAAGGTGAAAAGTAATAGTAGTTTGTAACCATGTGGCATCCACGTTGATGGACAAGCTGGCATATAATCAATAAGTATTAGGAGATAAACTTGATAGATTAAATATTGGGAAGGACAAAACAGGAATGTCATAGATTTTGGTTTGTGGAGTGGCAGGGATGGTGAAGCCATTCCCTGATAGAGAGGATGCTGGAAGAGGGCCCTGTTGAGGAGCGGGAGGCTGAGTTGAGATTTCTTTTTTTTTTAAAGATTTATTTATTTATGCATACAAGAACTGGGGTATAGGCCAGAGGTGTAGGGGGGATGGTGGTGAGAGGATTCACCAGAGACAGAGTGTGGAGCAGAACAAGCAGACTGACTGAAATACACTGCTGAGGGGAGCAGTGGGTGAGAGATGAGAGATCTACTGCACCATGTGGGTAGCTCCCTGGCAGACTGGGGATCGAACTCATGCTGCAGGGGCTGCGGACAGCTTCACAGTGCCATGCTTCACCCCTTGTGCCAGCAGGGAGACCCCGAGTTGAGATTTCATTTGTGGTATCCTAGTGGCATTATCAGTGAGGCAGTAGCAGCAAATCAGAGGAGAGACATGTGTCAACCACAAAAATGGATGAGCCTCCTGTACTAAGATGGCAGTTAAAGCCAGAGGCGTGATTGAGGTCACCAAGGAAGAAAATGTAAACAAGATAAGGAAGCTTACAAGTGAACCTTTAGGAATTCCAAATTTACTGGCCAGATGGAGGAAGATAAACCTTCAAAGCTGTTTTTATATCCATTTTCCAGAAAGCAAGACTCAGAGGAGTAGAGTAATTTGCCCAAGACAAATGGCTAGCAAATGGTAAATGTGGAATTTGAACCTAAATCTTTAATATTCCAGAGCTCACATTCTCCCAGCATGTCACATTCTTTTGTTTTTAGACAATTAGTTCTTGAAAACTTTGAAAGAGGTTTCTGTTTTTTTCATTTAGCATTGAATAACTCTTTTTCAGTACAATTGTTTTCTTTTACTTAAAACAAACAAACAAACAAAAAAACAAAATCAGCCTAAAACACCCTCACTGGTGAGGGTGAGTATCAAAAGGCAACATCGGTGCTACCATAAGAGGGATAGTAAAACAGAAACTCCACCAGGCCCTGGAGCCTTGAGTTCACCAACTTGACATAATTAGGTGTTCACTTAGCACTCAGTAATTAAATGACTTTACATCAACTTCTTTACCAGTAAAAAAAAAAAAAAAAAGTTTTGTGTGAGGTGCAACACACACCTCCAGGCTTTTTTTTTTTAATTTTATTTTTATATTCCCCATACAATTGCAACCCCCTTATTTTGACCCCAATCCCTCCTTTCCCTGCCCCCCAGAACCCCCCAAAAAGTGTCTCTGGTTCATAGTTGTTTGTTGATTTTGTTTTTTACTTTCTTATAGTTATTCTTTTTCCTGGTCTCTTATTTAAGTTTTCTAGATTCCTGCTATGAGTGAGACCATCCCATATTTTTCTTTTTCTTTCTGGCTTATTTCGCTGAGCATGAACCCTTCCAGCACCATCCATGTTGCTGCAAATTGCATGTGTTTATCTTTTTTGAATGCTGAGTAATATTCCATGGTGTATATGCACCACATCTTCTTGATCCAGTCATCTATTTTTGGGCATTTGAATGAGATACCATCTGACACCAATGAGAATGGCACATATTAAAAAAAAACTAGCAACAACAAATGTTGGTGAGGTTGTTGAGAAAAAGGAACTCTCCTGCACTGTTGGTGGGAGTGCAAACTGGTCCAACCACTATGGAGAGCTGTGTGGAGATTTCTGGACCTACTAAACATAGAGCTTCCATATGATCCAGCAATTCCACTCCTAGGTATTTACCCAAAGGACACAGAAACATCAATTCCAAAGAGCACCTGCACCCCTATGTTTATAGCAGCACTGTTTACAATAGCTAAGCTTTGGAAACAACCTCCAGGCTTTTTCACAAAACCTGCCTTCATGGCTGGGTCCTGCTGCTGGCGCCTGTCGAGTCACTAACTGCACTGTCACACCTCCAGGGAACATAAGGGCACTTCTCTCTCCCTGTTTCAGGTCAAAGAGCTGTGAAACGGATCCCAGCAAGTCCTAGGAATGAGGTCTCAGCCCCCGAAGTGTCTGCTGCGCACAGTAGCTTCTCCTTTTACTGCAGGCAGCCCAAGGGGTCTGTGAGATAAACTGGAAGTTAGAAAAATTTGGGAAAGAGTTTTGTTTTTTTAAGATTTATTTTTTTATATTCCCCATACAATTGTACCCCCTTTATTTTGACTCTAATCCCTCCTCTCTTGGCCCCCCATAGTGTGTCTCTGGTTTATAGTTGCTTGTTGATTTTGATTTTTTCTTCATTATAGTTATTCTTTTTCCTGGTCCCTTATTTAGGTTTTCTAGATTCCTGCTATGGGAAAGAGGTTTTTTTAGGTCAATCCTGCCCAGAGATGACTGGACGACTAGTTGTATCTTGTATATTTTGTTTCCAGCTTCTCTACCTTCATCATAATGAAAGGTCAGGAGAGGATTCTGACTTGGAAACAGCACTAAAAGGAAAACCAAATTTAGGGTTTAATGCCATGACCTGGCAGACCTGAGGTGGTATATCAAGAGGTGGGCTAACACCCAAGACGTTGGAGAGTAAGCATCTCAGGTATGAATAAATGAGAGGGATGGACATTATGAAAGTTGAGATTTTAAAAGATAGCTTTTAAAATGTGGTATGGAGAGGAACAGAGCTATGTTAAGGCAGGGTCGTAGAAATGAGTTGTGAAACAGAGTGAAAGAATCGTGGTGCTAAAGGGATCAAGGACAACTAGAATTAGGTTATTAAATTGTCTTCAAATGAAGGAATGCAGGATCACAGAGGGATATAAGGTGAGGAGAAAGATTGCTGAGATGCTTTGAGGTGATGTTGTTTCCTTCAAATAACTGAATTATAGTATTGGCATTTTATAGGACTCCATGCATAGCATCCTCTAAATTTGAAACCAATTAAGAAAACTACAAGAATTAAAACAGATGGGATCAAAAAGGTGATCTTTTTTTTCTGGTAAAATTAATTTTGGATATGCAGATAATATCTGCAGACAAATGTACTGTCTACCATTGACTCCTAGACTTAGTTATTCAGGCTTTGGAAGCTCTGGAACCCATTCAGGCTTCTCGTGGAAAGTGAGAGACTTACCTTTTTCATATTATCAGACAACAGAGAAGAAGGCATGCTCGTTGATGGGAGTCCAGCTTCTGAAAGAAGGAAGACAGGAAAAGTCAGATCTATGTATGTCCAGGTCTTTAATCATAACCTTAATCATTTTGGTCACTCCACCTCAGGAAGGGGAAGAATAGAGGAATATAAAGGCAGTGACACCTTCCTCTGATGAAAGGAAGTGTAAGGATTAGAAACAGATTTTTTTTTCCTCTGAGGCTTGGGTCCGGTAGGAAAAATAAAAATTGTTTTCTACATGTTTCAAATAGAAAGATGCTTTCTTCAAATTGAGGTATATTTGCATGCAATAACATGAAGAATAGAGTTCTTAGAAATATGTAAATGGAGATAACAATGTGTTTAACGTCTACCACAAGATAGGAGTGTCAACACTGGTCTACCTTGACCCTAATTAACAAGTGGATGAGGTGGGACATGAATTTGATGCCACTGAGAGGGAAATCTAAATCATCTCTCTTAAAAATACTTTGGTTGTAAGATACAGACACCCTCTCAAACTAGTTTAAAGAAAGGGACCAGAGAATACTTATACAACTCATGGGTAAAAGGAAAACTAGATCTCAGGAACTAGAAGAATTAAATTCCAGGCTGTTCTTTTCATCTCTTTGCAACAAATATTCCCATTCCCACATTCTTTTCTCTTTGAAGACATGTTTTCTTTTCCCTGGTATGTATGAATAGGAAGTAGTTTCCATGATTATAATTCATACTTGACTTCACAGATCTCATGTCCAATATGCTTTATCTAGATTTGCTATGTCTCAACTTCAAATTCATGGAAGAGATGATCTGATAGGCTCACTTTGGGTCAAGAATCTATTTAAGATTAAGTCAGCTGTGTCCTAGGAAAGAGGCAGGCACACATGGCTCCAATATGAAAGATTGGTTTTGACAGGGTCTTTTAAATTCTAGATTTTTGAGCTCTAGTTTTACGTCTTTCCAGGATCAAATCAAATTCTCAATTAGGGCCATTAATAAGGACCTCTGTACTCTGGTTATCCACCCCTCTTCTTTGTACTAACAGGCAGAAGTGAGCCTAAGTGCCCCATTGGCCTCCTGGTCGACCTTATTCTTTGAGTGTCTTCTGCAAGTAGGTTTACAATCCTCACTATATTGGTTCACAGTTGAGGTTCTGATGATACCCATATTCCCTCATCAACACCATGCCTTCCAGAGCCCCCAAGTTGATCAGAACTTTTGCCATGTTTCTGTACATTGCCATTCCTGCCTTTTCTATACTGCATTTATTAGAATTCTGGGGGAAGTTTTGGCAATTTTTTTCAAGAATGGGGCAACATCCTGAGATAGTGCACAGTAAGTAGACCAAGAATTAAGACCTTACCTCACTAATTCTTATATAAAATAAGTGGTTTGGATGTCTCTGGTTCATAGTTCAGACCTTTGGAGGGAAAGCCACAAGAATACACTCTTTCTTTTGATAGCTCTTCATTTATTAATTCTATTTATCTTTTTTGTGTGTCACTCTTCAAGGTTTTCTTCTCTCACATAGAATGCTCAACTGTGTTATCAGAAAACCCATGAGGACAGACTCTTATGTCTGTGAGTTGACTTGACTTCATGTCTACTTGAGTTTTGGAAACTTTGGCATTCTAAATTTAAGCTGGATAAAAAAAAAATAGGTTCTTTCCTTTGCCCTGGTATTTGCTGACTCTAAGTAAGGCTGTCTCTTTAAACAGAGTGATGGTGAGGAAGATGATTTGATTCCAGTTCCATCTCTCCACTACTGAAGCTGGGATCAGTTTAGTCCCTGAAAGAGGAAAGCATATTCTTCGAATTGACATCACTTTAAATCTATATGCTGAGAACTAAAAATCCTGGTAGTATTGTATAAGGAACAGTTGACTCCTTTTTGAGCCTATTTTTATTACAAAAAGTTATCATGTTGCTGGAAAATGCACTTGAATCATAAATGATGAATTTTCTACTCCCAAGTAGATTCTTTTTGATCCTTAAATTTCTTCTCTGATAGAAGAAAGCCTTTTTTATGACATTAAGATTCATTCTTTTCTAATATCATGTATCTTCAGTATAAGTCTGATTATCATAGAATAACATCAACCACCACCCAACAGGGCATTCTTCCTATGTGGGTACCCACTATGTGGCTTTGTAGTATAAAACATAGAGTGTCTTCTGCCTTTGTGAATGAAGCCTTGGCTAGTCTTGGATAAGATCTTGAATGCTGATCTTCTAGCATTACTCTAATATACTTTGTCTCACATTTTGTCTCTATTCCTCTTGTGGCTAGTTTATATATGCTCTATCTCAACAGTATATGGAATAGTCTCCTTCAACCTGCTGAAATGAACTAATGTATAGTTGGAAGAAATAAGAAGAGGATAAAGGAAAAAGGAAAGAAAATTAAAATTGCAGATCCCAGGATTTGAACTAATTTGTCAGTAAGAATTGCATTTGAATGGAAGGAAATCTAACTCAATTTAAGGTAATGAACCAAAGGAAGATTTCAAAATGCATGATGAATTGCCTCATTACAAAGAAAACAAAGCATGTTTATTATGACCTCAACATTTTAGGGAAAGGAAAGTTATTTGAGAAGGGTCAAGTCTCTGCCCACAGTTGCATTAAATAATATCAGGGCTGAAAAATAAAATGAGTAATTTACTGTGGTCCTAAAGAAATGTACAAGTGGGTCTTATGAGGCTCTATATAGACAGAGTGGGAAAGATGATATATAAACTATGGAATGACAGGGGAGGGCAACCCTGATAGAGGTAGCCCATTGGTTTCTCTTTGTTAAGATTCAGGATCACTCATCAGTGGAAGTACATCTCTTGGTTCAGCTGTGGGTTCATTGATTCCTTGTCCTGTGGGCCAGCAGTTTTGTTTTTGATGTGTCAACTGCTGCTGCTGTTACAGAGACTGTAGCCAAGACCCATGGGTAATTCCTTGTCTGTAAACTCTTGGCAAGAATAGTAGGTTTCTGACCCTTTTCTTTTTTCCTAACTTGTGTCCTATATACCTTCAACTGTTTCAACTTCTTGTTCTTTTTTGTTCTTGAACTGTTCACTCCAGGGTTTACGATCATCAAGATCATACTGGAAGAATGAGAGAGGGAAAAAGAGAGGTAAATTTCAGTGTCTTTGTTTCTAATCTCCTAAATACAGTTTCAGGGCATTTGGAATATTCTGAACAATGTTTAATAGTAATTGATGATGGTGAAACATACAGTATTTGTAAGTCGATGTCAGTAGAATGTGAAGATGATATCTGCTCCCTATCAATTTCTAATTCTCTATCAAATCCCAAACTGCTGTCTCCTCCAGGTGATGTTTAAACTTGTCCCTTTCCTCCTCTCACACACCTTATGAAAAATGGCTTTGCCATCTGCAGCTGTCAGGAATCTGTGGAGTAGAGAGTACGCCTCGATGAATATACAAATGTGCAGCTGGACCAAAGCCCCTTCCAGAAGGCGGCTGGAATATAAATCATAGTGAGCTTGTACTTCTCAAGTAATGGGCTGCCATTGGGGGACTGCCATGCATAGGGGACTGGAGGGAAATAGAAAGATCTTAGTGGAAATATACCCTGAAATATGTGATGAGGTTGGCTGGAAAAAGCATATCCATGAGTAACATGTTCCAGAAAATCCAGTTACTTGGGCTCTTGGAAATGTTGAAACAAAGCTAAGAACAGCATAGAGTTGATTGAGCTTTAGTAATTTGTTTCCCTTTGAGCTGTTGGAAGTCTATTAGGATCTCTCTCTGTCTTTCTGTCTCTCTTTGTCTCTCTCTCTCTCTCTCTCTCTCTCTCTCTCCCCACCCCTCCCTCTTCCCCCTTTCCCTCTCTCTCTCCCCCTTCTTTCCTCCCCTTTTCATTCCCTCTCCAACGTGCACACGATCATGCACGTGCACACACACAGAAACACATGCCAAGAAATACGGGCAATCTAGAGACATGCAAAAACATGAGATTGTCCATAGACTTTTCAGAAAGGAACGTAACCCTGCTGACACCAAAATCTTGACTTTAAACCCAGTGAGACCCTGGAACTGCTGACCACTGGAACTGTAAGATAGTAATTTCTGTTTTTTTAAACCATGAAATTTGTGGTAATCTGTTAAAGTGGCAATAGGAAATGAATACAGATTTCAGTACCTGGAAATGATGTGCTGTGTTAACAGATACTTAAAAATGGGCTACTGGCTTTTGTATTGGGCAGAGGATAGAGGCTGGAAGACTACAGAAAATGATGGGAAAAGGCTTAGTTTGTTTTAAACAGACTGTTAATAAAAATGCATATGTTAATGATGCTGCTAGTGACAACTTAGAAAGAAGTGAGTAGTGTGGTGAAATATGCATGTGTTCTTAGAGAATATATAAATAATTATGAAAAGACTCATGGTAGAAATGTGGATGTCAGAGTCATACTGTCAGTGAGGACTCAGCTAGGAATAATTTGTTGTAACCTGGAGGAAAGGAAATCCTTGTTATATAGTAACAGAAAGCTACACTGAATCATGTCCTGCAGTCATGTGGAAAGTAAAGCTTATGAACAGTGAACTTTATTTAGCTAAAGAGATATCTATGCAAAGTGTTGAAGGTGTGGTCTAGTTTTCTTGCTGCTGATAGCAAAAATGTGAGGGGAATAACAAGGACTGAGAGAAAAATTGCTAAATAAGAAGGAGCCCGAAATGATGATTAGGGAATTTTCAGCATCTCCAGATTGCAAAAGACACAAAAAACATTGGTGTTTCATCATCACCAAAGCATCCTCTAGAGAGAATACCAAAGATGTGACTGGATAACTTTTTGCTTCTGAAAATCATAGTATCTAGTTACTCAGAGAACTGTTTAAAGAGATTAGGCCTATGGATCTCTAAGTCATCTCAGGAGAATCAGAAAAGTAATTGAGATTATCCAGGAAGTATATGTTAAGGAGTCTGATGTTTAATGGAGTGAATTCTCATGACATGCATAGGAGACACACAAGGCTCTTGAAAATTTATACCCATAGAAATATTGCTACCTTGAACTGACAAGGACAGAGAGAGTACAGAATGAAAGAGGATTCTTGGACCTTCAAAATTCTATAGGAAGATGCTGACTGATAAATTGGTCAGGTGTTTATATGTGCTACCTTTGATGAACATGAAAGTATAACTCAAAGCGTAGAAACTGAAACTCTAGGAAGTGGAATCAAGATCCCAGAGGACATAGAAGAAATTCACAGTGGATTCTTCCAAGGCTTTGGAACCAAATGGAGTTTTCTTACTGGATTCCAATTTGTTTGGTAATTTTTTCCCTTCATTTTCTTCCTTTTATACAAATATTGGGTTGTTGGAAAAGTCATGACACACATGAAAAAATACAGAAAAAATACATCATGACTTTTCTGACAACCCAGTAAACATGTAAAACTACTATTTTATGCCTTTCCCAGAGCAAAAGACAGCTTTGCTTCTTGTGTTTAACAGGTTCATAGATGGATAGGTTTTCAGACTATCACCCATACTTGATGTAAATAAATTCAGATCAGATTTTGGCTTCATTGATTTTTTTTTTTACGATTCTTATTTTACTGATTTCTATTATTATTATTATTTATTTTTGTTATTTATTTTTGTTATTCCTTCTGCTTGATTTAGGCTTGTTTTGCTACTTTCACTTGATGGTACACATTTAATGGTACACATTTCCCCTATGCACTGTTTTGTTCACATCTCACAAATATTGATGTTATATTTTCATTTAATTAATTGAGTTTAAAATGTCTAAAATTAACTGTGATATTTATTCTTTGACCTTAGTGCACAGTTAGATTTCCAATATTTGGAGATTTTCAGGCAATCTTTCAGTTATACATTTCTGGTTAAAAGTCATTATAAATTTATAATGTACTTTGTATGATTTCTAGTCTTTTAAATTTGTTAAGGTCTATATTATGGCACAGAATATGGGTTATGTTGGTGAATATTCCTTGTGATGTTGTTATGTGTATGGGGAGTACACATTCAACTACTGAATGCCATATTTTATGAATGCAAATTATCAAGTTGATTTATCGTGTTGTTTAGATCATCTATATTTTATAGATTACCTTTTTGATTGTCTCAGTCAATGAAAAGGGAGTGTTAAAATACAATATAACAGTGAATCTGCCTACTCCTTTCAGCTATATAAGCTTTTACACTCCATTTTTTTTTTAAGAATTGATACTTTTTTTTTTTTTTTTTACTATGAGATTTCCCTCTTTATTCTTAACAATTTTCCTTGTTCTGAAGCCAGGTCTTACTAATATTAAATAACACCTCTGCTTTCTTGACTGTTCACATGGTATATCTTGTTTCTATTTCTTTTCATCTATTTAGTGTTCATATTTAAAATGGGTGCCTTTGCATTATATCTGACAAGGGGCTAATATCCGAGATCTACATAGAGCTCATACAACAAAAAGAAAATAAAGAACCCAATCAAAAAATGGGCAGAAGAGCTAATAGACACTTCTCTAATAAAGACACCAGATGGCCAATAGGTGTATGAAAAAATGTCCAACAAAATATATCATCAGGGAAATGCAAATCAAAACCACAATGAGAATCAACCTCACTCCTGTGAGAATGGCCAGGTCAAGAAAATCAGAAACAGCAATTGCTGGTGAGGGTGTAGAGAAAATGGAGCCCTCACACACTGTTGGTGGAGATGTGGACTGGTCGAGCTCCTGTGGAAAATAGTATAGAGATTCTTCAAAATATTAAAAATATGATGCAGAAATTTCACTCCTAGATATCAACCCAAAGAATTCAAAAATACCAATTCCAAGGGATTTATGCACTCCCAAGTTCACTGCATCACTATTTGCAAAAGTCAAATTATGGAAACAACCTAAGTGTCCATCAACGGAGCAGTGGATTAAGTTGTGGTCTGTATACACAATGGAATACTACTTAGCTGTAAAGAAAGATAAACTCTTGCCATTTGCAATAACATGGAGGATATTAAGCTTAGTGAAGTAAATCAAAAGGACAAAGACTGCATAATTTCGCTCATGTGGAATATAGGGAAACTGAACAAAGGAACTGAAAAAAGACAAACAAAAACAGAATTATGACTGCAGAATTGAAGCTATTAAAAGGACTGGGAGGGTAGAAATGGGAGCAAAATAGCAAGGGAGCCCAGTGGTCTGTGTTGAAGAGTTACAGGTGCTTTGGTGATAGGTTGGTGTCATGGCATGCATCTGAGGAGGTATGAACTTATTCTCCTAAGTCATATACAGTTGCATATCAGTGTTACCTTAATTTTAAAAAAGAAAATGGATTATCAAATTATGGTATATGTAAAATACAGTATTTTGTAAAAGTAAAAATGGATGAACTCCAAATACATCAACAATGTGAAGGAATATATAAATATTTTCTTTAACAAATCATAAGGACAGATACTGTTCTTGGTGTTAGTCAACCATAAGGTATTTGATTTTTATGACAATAACAATGAGATTAGCACTAATATTACCTCCATTTTGCAGAGGATGACATGGGCATAGAGGTAGTATCTAATTAATTAAGTGGGAGAAAAAAAAGCATATTAGAGATTACATACAGCATAATATTTTTAATAAAGTTAAAAACCTGGATACTCAAGATTATGTTATTTAAGTATATGTATGTGTAAGAAAATATTTTTCAAGGAACATATCAATTATATGCCCTCATGTGAGAGACAGTAGTTATCTTCAGGAATTTAGCATGCCTGCAGATGGCAGGTAGCTTGAAAAGTATTGGTCAGGGCCTCCCTGGTGGCCCAGGCGGTTGAGCACAGCACTGTGAAGCTGTCCGCAGCCTCTGCAGTGCCAGTTCAATCCCCGCTGGCCTCGGAGGAACCCACATGGCGAGCAGACATCGCCTATCTCGCCCACTGCTCCCCTCAGCATTGTATTTTGTCAGTCTGCCTGTTCTGTGTCCCGCTTTGTCTCTGATGAGTCTGCTCACCCTCCCGTGAATCTGGCCTGTACCCCAGTTCTTGTATAAATAAATCTTTAAAAAAAAAGTATTGGTCATTATGCTTCATAATATATGTGCATTGCATATAGTTTGCTGTGTCAAAGTATATTTTAAGAAAGTTAGCACCTGTGTTTTGACATTTAGAGTAACTGTTCAGAGAACTATTTTGTTTATTTTCTGGTTTTCAGATTCACTCAAAAGATAAGGGATTGCTAGATAGTTGATTTCCAGAGAGGTAAAGCAGAATCATATTTTTTAGAAGTGTACATATAGTCATTCTGAAGACAAATCAGATTCAAATCAGTGCTTATAAGAGAAATAAATGGTAGAAGTCTGAGCTTTTCTTTTTAGCACACTAAGTGTAAAAAGCAACTTGACCACTGACAAATATAAATCCGCATCATGCCCCTTAAATCAATATGCCTACTTTATTGTGAGAGTGGGAATAATTGTAACAAAAATAACAATTACACCTTCCAATCAGCTCAAACATGTAAAAATCCAGACATTGTTATCCTTACCCTTATGACATGGAAAAGCCAGACAAAAGGAAAATCAGTGACTTTTTTCTGAAACCATCAGAGAACTGAGAGTTATCAGTCTAGTTGCCACCCCATAATCTGAAAACACAGGCCCATTTAGCGAGGCACATCCAAGATCTGCTTTCCTGGAGCAAAAGCTGCCAGAGAAACTCATGAGAAGACTTAAACGACAATTTTAATGAATTGTTGATAGTTGAGTGTGGACTGGCATGAGAGTGAGAAAATCCTTGACATCACAGTCAAAGAGGTTCCCCATATGTTCATAGGCTTTACTTGCAAACAACCCATGAGTTTTTCATAGAGTAGAACCAGGAAAAAATACCCCTGTGGCTCTGTCAGGGTGTGAAGGGGAGAAGAATTACTGTGAAGTGTACCCAAAACATTCTCCATAATGAATACCCACCCTCCAGGGAAAAAGTTTATCAAAGCATTATCCCAGCTGGGAAAGAGCATTCCTCCCACCCTAGCCATTCCTATACTTGCTGTCACACTTTAGGGTAAAATAATGAAAAACTATAGGGCTAGAAAACACTTGTGTAAGTCACAACCCAGAGCCACAGCCTGGTAAAAGGCTAAGATGTAATTATAGATTATAGAATACTACCTCTCTCTCCACATTTGACCACCACATTTGACCAACAGGGATCCAGAAAATAGTGGATTATAGCTGAAAGAATTGCAAGATGCAGACTTGATATGAAGAGTTCTTAGGGCCTCCCCAAATCAAGAAGAAAGAAAATAACATGGATACTAGAGGAATACGAACTCTAGGCACCTATAGTTACAGCAAACATTGAACACAAATTTTTAACCACATTAATGTAGTCTGTATCCCTAAGATATATACTTGCTACTTAATACTTCATATTTAGTTTCAGTAAATACAATGCATGAAAATAAGGGCAAAGGAAAGAGAAAACTTTGAAAAGATAAAACAAGCTTCAGAAGCAGACTTGGATATACTACAGATGTCAGAATTATCAGAAAGGGAATTTTGTTAAAACTATGATCATTATTCTAAAGGCAAAAACATAAAAGTACATGCTATGTAAGAACAAATGTTTAATATAAGTAAAGTGTTGGAAATACTAAGATAGACAAAAAAAAAATATAAGAAATCAAAACCACTGTAGTGTAAATGAAAATGCCTCTGATGGGTTTATCAGTGGACTGTACATGATCAAAAAAGGAATCATGGAGGCCAAAGATAATTCAGTAAAACTTCCCTAACAAATACAAAGAGAAAAAAAAAAACAATGAACAAAAATGATCTCAAAATGGCACAACCAAAAAATGTTGGACAACTTCAAAAGATGTAGCTTATATATAATGAGAATACAAGAATGAGAAGAGAGCAGAAATATTTGAAGAAATAATGAACTTTCCAAAATAACGGTACCAAACAACAGATCCAGTGATCTCAGAAGATAGCAGACAGAACAAGTAACAACAAAACACTACATTTAATATATCATATTCAAACTTCTATAACCCGAAGACAAAATCTTGAAAGAAATCAAAAGAAATAGCACCTTACCTAAAAATTACAATGGACTACTCTTCAAAAACCACACAAACAAGAAGAGACTGAATTGAAATTTTAGAGTGTTAAAAAAAACACACTAACCTAAAATTAAATAGCCAGTGAAATTATACTTCAAAACTGGAGGGAAAATAATATCTTAAACAAAAACCAAGGAAATCTAGCCTCAACCCATTTCTGTCTTGCAGGTAATTTTAACAGTTACTTGGTGAGAGGAAAAACGATGTACATCAAAGACACAAATCTGCATAAAGCAATGTGAACATCAGAAAGTGGAAATGTAAACATTTGAATATAAAATAAATCTTCCATTCTGGAACCATGACTCAATCTCTCCATAACCGCGCAGAGAAGAATCCAGCACTGGTAAATGCTGCTGTGATTTACCACAAGCCTCAATTTGCCATACTTTAGCACTATGCCAAAGGTTGACCTGTTTCCTCAAACCCCTGCTGAGATCCATACAGATGTTCAAGCTTTAAGAAAATAGTCGATCAGCTAAAATTGGTAAATTCACACAGCTCATAGTTAAGAAAACTCTGATAAATGGTTTGGTGCGGTGTGGAGTGATTTTATGTTAAGTGAGAACATAAGCAACTGTGGCATTATGGCTGTAATGTTTGAAAACCAATATCTATTATCTGATAATATTTAGTGTTTATTATTGAGTGATGTTTGATCAGAATGGTATCGGAATAAAATAATGTGTCAAAACAAGATATTATTTTTCTTTGTGATTAATCTAAAAGTTTATTGTTCAGGGCCTCCCTTGGTGGCACAGGCGGTTGAGCACGGCACTGTGAAGCTGTCCGCAGCCTCAGCAGCACAAGTTCGATCCCGGCCAGATGGCTAGAAGCCCCACATGGCACAGCAGACCTCTCCTGTGGCACCTGCTGCTCCCCTTAGCAATGTATTTCGGTCAATCTGCCTGTTTTGCTCCCAACTCTGTCTCTGGTGAATCCTCTCACCCTCCTGCGCATCTGGCCTGTACCCCAGTTCTTGTATGCATGAATAAATAAATCTAAAAAAAAATCTTAAAAAAAATAAAAGTTAATTGTTCAAAGTAAATACTAACAATATATTTGGTGATTATAGCATATGTGTAAATGAAATGCACAATGTCAAAAAGGATGAAAAGGAGGGATTACAATAGCAATACTCTGTTATAAGGTATCTGTATTACAAATGAAATAGCAAAATTCTCTTTAAAAGGGGAATTAGAGTTCACTCCCTGGCCAGAGAGCTAACCCACAAGGCAAAGCAGACCTCTCCTGTTTTGCCTGCTGCTCTCCTCAGCAGTGTATTTCAGCAGATCCACCTGTTCTGCTCTCCGCTTTTTCTCTGGTGAATCCTCTCACCCCTCATACCTCTGACTTACACTCCAGTTCTTGTGTGCATAAATAAATAAAAATAAGGGGTTAAGACAGAACCTGTGAAGCTGTCCTGAGCCTCTGCAGCACAAATTTGGTCACCGGCCGGCCAGGGAGCAACCCACATGGTGCAGCAAACCTCTCCTGGCTCATCTGCTGCTCCCCTCTGCAGTGTATTTCAGTCAATCTGCCTGTTCTGTTCCCCACTCTGTCTCTGGTGAATCCTCTCACCCCACACACCTCTGACCTGTACCCCAGCTCTTGTATGTATAAATAAATTTTTAAAAAATAAATTAAAAAAATAAAAAGAGACTTAGTAAGAAAAAAATGTATAGTCTAAAGTCTCTTCTCAACAATTTTTGCAGGGAATGTGTAGTGTTTGTAAATCTCAATAGCTTTTGTTTGTCTGGGAAATCCTATATTCCTCCCTCATCTGAAAGAGATGTTTGCTTGATATAGTATTCTTGACTAACAGTTTTTATCTTTGAGTATTTTATTATTTTTAATCATAAATTAATATTTAATTTATTTAATTTTACTTTTTTCTTTTATATATTTTTTACATCATTTTTCATTTTTGCACAATGTATGCATTTTCATCTTGGTTATAGTCCCCATAGCAGTAGTATATCTGAGTATTTTAAATACATCATTGCACTCTTTCCTTGCCTGCACAGTTTCTGCTGAGAAATTTGTGTTGTAAGTAGTACCTTTGTAAGTTACTTGCTCTCCCTCCCCTACTAGTTGCCTTCAAAAATTTTTCTTTCTCTTGAACTCAGCTTATTATAGCAGTTCTGAACTCTCTGATGCAGGCATATAATCTTCCACCTTTTTGTGTTTGGATTTTGGAGACTTGTTTTTGCCTTGTGATGTCAAACTCTCTTGAGGACTCATTTCCATATGTTTTTTTTTTTTTTTTTGTCTGCCCATTTTTCTACTTGAGGTATCCCTGTTTAATTATTGTTTTTAAAATATTTTTAGCAGCAACTTAGGAAGGTTGAACTATTTTATTTTACCCAGATGTGGTGCTGTGTTTTTCTTTGATTTTTAAAATTCCTTCTTTAATTCATTCCTTTGCTGACTTCTGTATATTCTCAAATCTGTTTTGTAGTTGCTGAATTAAGAGGTTTAGGCAGGAACTAGGAGGGATCCAGGTGTTGGTATGAGACTGGCTTGATTTTGTGGAATCCTTGCTGTCCTTTCTGAGGTTTGGTATGAGAGAATCAGCAGTCCCCATGCTCACAGTTTGCCTCATAAGGTAAACACTAATCCTAGAGTTTGGGAAGGGGAAGTACAGATCCAAATGCACGCTCTTTTATTTTTACTTTGTGCCCAGCCTGCGTAGAGCACCCCGGCTCCTCCACAGGGTTTTCTCATCTTTCCAGGGAGTGTGCCTCCACACAACCTCCCTCCCCACAACAGGACCCCTCCTTGAGCTGACTGCCCTACCACAGTTGTCCCTTATTCCAGACTACCACTCCAAAGACTGATTCCTCTCTCCAACTACCCAATTTGATGTAATGTAAATCTCCTTGGTGTCAACTTTTCTGATGTCTGCACTCATCTCTACTGTTTAAGGGGTGGTGATCAGTCACACTCCTTTCCCTGGAACTATCTTTCTGAACGTTGTCCCTTTGGCTCACTGCTGCCGGAGCCTTACCAAGTTGGCTCCAGGGTCTGTCATTATCTCTGCAGGGACCTGTTTCATCTGTGCACCTTAGCAGGGTCTGCTCTACTGCTTCACAGGGCCTACAAGATGTGGGGTTCTTCTAGGATCTGCCTCGGGGATCACTGGAGTCTGAGGGGCCTATAGTGACAGGGAACCACTGGGGTTTGCAAAGGCTTATGGAATTGGGGCCACTTGCCAGTTCTGACTGCTTCAGGGGCTCATATCACCCACCTGGGCTACCCACTTGATCCATTCAGCTGCTCACTGAGGCACACCTCCTCTGGATATTTTTCCTAGGTGTGCTATAATTATGTGTTTTTTCCTTTATGAGTTATTGGTTTTGTTATGTTGCAATTTAGTTGTGAGTTGCAATTTAGAGAAGGTTATATATAACCTCTGTCACCATATTGCTGTTCCTTCTATATAAACTTCTCCCATTTTCTTGTTTCTTGTTAATTGGTATTTCGATAATAAACAGCTTTCTGCTACTATACACAATAGTTATTTGAAGATTTTAATTCATGTATTATTATGTATCTATAAGAGAGTTCTTCCAGCAAAATACCAAATTGTCCTATCATAGAATTTGAGTATACTCATCTCTACAATAGCATCAAAGTGGCTGCACACATGAACTCTTCTATTAGAAAGACATAAGCAATCTTGCTGATCCACATTCTTGCTATCACTTGGTATTGTTAAATTTAATAGTTTGTACAATCTTGATGAGGTAAAATTTCTCTTTCAGTATATTTCCAGAATTTCTAATGACCTTGAGCATTCTTTAAGTGTTTGTCATTTGTGTGCTATTTTGTTTGGAGAATACACACACACACACACACATACTTTTGCACTTTTGTATCTGCACTGTACTCTTTTGTCAGTTAAATGTGTTGCAACAGCCTCAGACTCTGTTTTGTCTTTTTGCTTACTTTGTGATTTACTTGAAATAGGTGTTAATTGTAAAATGATGAAATTAATATTTTTCATGTGCTTACTGCTCCTTAAGAACTTACTTACGAAACTAATTTTAGACCAAGTTACAAATATTTTTTCTATATTCTAAAATGGTTACAGTTCTGAAGTTTTACATTGAATTCTTTGTAATTCATCTTGTAATGGTAGGAGGTATAGCTCAAATTTTATTTTTTTGTCGGTGAATATATATATGTATCCTAATTAGCATGTATAGGAAATATGGGTATGTTTTCAAATTCTGTATTTTTTGTCCTTTGATCAGACTATTAATTTCAACACCAATACCACATAGACTTACTCACATAGATTTTACCACATTTTGGTATTCAAATCTTTTTGGTCTTTGGGGTGTCCTGGCTATTCTTCCATCTTTATTCATATAGATTTTAAATGGATTTGTTAAGAACATCAAAATGCCTTATCAATATTTGATTTGAATTATATCAGACATAGGCCTACTAGGTTAGATGTTAATGAGTTATATTTTTCTGTGATTTTTCCCTAATTCACCTAAGTTTTCAATGTTGCCAACAATTTACTAATACTATTTTCTTAAAAACTTTTAATGTTTGCTTTTTCTGTAGTTACCTTCAATCATCCATTTTAATATTACTTTTCTCTATCAATTTCATCATAAGTTTATTTCCATCATTATTCTCATCAAAATCATCATCTGATTTTAACTCATTCGATTTATTCTTGTTTTCTGTACTGTCATTTGTCTTTATTGCCTTCCTTGCGCTTCTAAGTATATATTCTGAAGTGGTTTTTCCTATTATTGTTACTATGATTTTTGACAAAGTTTATTTTGATTTAACTAAATATGTAGCAGTATCAGTTTCTTTTCATATCGCTCCATCTTGTGTCTCAGACATTCCCACCTATGCTGTTTTCCTTATTCTTAATGAATGTCCTTTGGAAGTCTCTTTAAATGAAAGCCTGCTGGTAGTAAACTTTCTTAGATTTTATTAAACTGAAAATCTATTTGTTTTTTCTCAGATGGTCAAATAATACTTCATGTCTTCTGGCTTCCATTGTAGGTCTCAAGAAGTCTGTATTCAGATTAGCTTTCATTCCTTTGTAGTGACAGGTTTTTCCCTGATTTCTTTTTACAATCTTCTTTTGTTTATAGTGTTCATCTGTTTTACAACAGTATGTATGCATGCATGAGGATATCTTTGTATTTTTCTTGCTTTATATATGTTTTTTCCTTTATGAATTCTTGATATTTATAATTCTAGAAAAATAGTGGTCACTGTTGTTTCATACATTTTTCCCTTTATTTTTCTTCATTGAGATTCTGATGAGAATTTGGGCCTTCTCAGTCTATCCTCCTCACTTCTAATTTTCTTCTTCACAGGTTTTCTTGTTCTTGTTTTTCTGTTGGTTTCTCTTTTTTAAAAAAAAATATGCATACAAGAATTGGGGTACAGGCCAGAGGTTCAGTGTGTGGGATGAGAGGATTCACCAGAGACAGAGTAGGGAGCAGAACAGGCATTTTGACTGAAATACACTGCTGAGGGGAGCAGCGGGCGAGTCAGGAGAGGTCTCCAGTGCCATGTGGGTCACCTCCCTGGCCAGGAATCAAACTCGAGCTGCGGTATCTGCAGATTGCTTTGTAGTGCTGATGCTTAACCTCTTGTGCCACCAGGGAGTCTCCTCTGTTGCTTTCTTGATAA